ACGCGGACGTCACGTGATATGGAACGTCACTGTTCGGATATTCCTAACTTAAATCTAACTGTCATAAATATTTTAAATGTTGTTTTTTTTTTACTATATCTAAAAAATTGCTTAACTATTGAAATATTTATAAAGATTTAAAAACACCTAAGTCCCTATTCAACCCTAATTTATGTGTATTTAATTTTAAAATCCAATATTTTTTTTTTCTGCGTGTGAATGTGAAGTAAAATCGGAATCTATCAATAAACATTTGCAGTTTTCTAATGTGTGTCCTGATTGATTGTAGTGTTTATCTATGGGAGAAATAAGGGTTGTTTTGACGTATTGTTTGTTTATGGTTATTGAAACGAAATCTAAAATTATTTCCAGACTCACCAATATATCCACTATTAGGACATAAGTTGCAGAATAAATAATAGATTACGTTATGGCTATCGCAGGTGAGGTTAGGTGGCTGTATCCTGATATTGGTGTTGGGTACGGAAAATGTATTAGCTATTATTAAATGTTGGCGAACTAAACAACGAGGTTTGTTACATTTGTAATTTCCTGTTTGGTTTCTATTGTTTAGATATTTGTTAGAGGTGTCACCTCTACTATCTCAGCTATCCCCACCTCTATTGTATTTGGCTTTTATTTATTCTTTATTTTTGTAATCATTTCAGCCTAATCAAGACGGTAATGTAACTAGCACACAGGGGGTTGACAGGAAATGAAAGAGAATACAGGGATGGATTGAGAAAAGGGAAAAGATGAACGGTGTTCAAGAATATGGCAATTGGCGTTGCATTTAAATTTTTGAAGGTTTTATTTATAAGAGAACCAAATAAATGGAAGGCTGTTCCACAGGTGGGAAGTGGGAGAATATAACTGTTTGAGCAAAAATGGCGGTTGTATTTAGGTATTTTAACAGTAAAAGTGTAGGGCCTAGATGCTAATCTATGCCACGCTTAATTTCAAATGATAGGTTCACCAGGAAATAAAGCTCGTCAGTTGAGTTGTTATGAAAATATTTGTAGAAAAGACAGAAGGTAACGTTACATTGGTGAGAAAGTAACTGCAGATGCTTCTTTGGATTTTTGAATCTTGAGTGTAAATTGCATAAATTCTCTCCTCTGAAAGTGGTAAACACATCAAGAATGCGATCACAGCTTTCAAGTTAAATATAACAGGTCGAATAAGAAAGAAAGCAGGTTTAATATTAAACAAAAGACTGAATGAACTATTAAAACGTAACAGGTCGGGATGGCTGCCGAGTAAAATAAAATCGTTACTTTCGCAATGCCAGATATAACTGTTAATATATATATATATATATATATATATATATATATATATAATTGGAAAAATACAGAAACTCAAAGTTTCACGCTATGACGCAATCCTCAGTCGGTTCTCCGAACACTTTCTGTCTTGTTGAAAAAGATTACAAAAGTGTCTTATTTTACATTCTGCAAACTCTTCTTCAATGTTGTATGTTTATCGCTAAAATGTAACCGTTTCCATTGCCAATATTCAGTTGAGTGCTATTCTTTATTTTCACCATTCTTACAATTACAGCTAGGTCAAAGTCGAAGCATCCTTGTTTCCTCTATGACACAATTTTTAGAATAGACAGTTTGTTCCCAATATTTCCATTATATATAATAGATTCCCATTTGAGTGCTTCCCTGAGCACATCAATATTGGCTTTTTCAATTCCAAAGTTATTTGTTATTTTCCTCGTTATCTTTCACGTCCGAGAAGCTTCTTTTATATTCATATCGCACATATCCTTCCGCGTTATCATTTTAACTGTACCACTCTAGCTTGAGTGGCTCTCTGACTTTGTAGTAGGTGAAAATTAGTATTGAAGAAAAGTAATTCCCTTAATGTTTTTATTTTGTTCTTGATTTTTCTCTTCTGGTTTACACCTTATTTCTTTCCTTTTTTCAGAATGTGTATATATATATATATATATATATATATATAGGTATATAGATTCCTTCTTCTTTGTGGAAATTCTACGGAGTTCTTTAAATGGTGGGTTCATGTATTCGTTTGATATCTGCTCCCCTGTTTACATGTTCCCCTGTCTGAGACTATTGAGATGTGTTGCGATATATTGTATCGTACCTCTTTGTCTCCTCCGGATTTTCCTGAGGGTATATTTGTTGAGCTTATGATGTTTCGCCACCGCGTCTGTTCCATTTAGCTTTAATAATATCATGTATCGACAGATCGACGGGGTAGCTATGGGTTCGCCTTTGGGTCCAACGTTGGCGAATATTTTTGTCGGCTTTCACTAGGCTTCCTTATTTACTTGTATTGGTCGTCCTCTTATGTATCATCGTTATGTGGATGATACCTTTTTCCTCTTTAATAATGAGGCTGAAGCTGACAAATTTCTCACCAAATTAAAATCTGTCCATCTTACTCTTAAGTTCACCGTAGAGAAGGAGTCTAATTCTTGTCTTTCCTTTTTGGATGTTTTTGTCCATAAGATCATTGGCAAGTT